TTTGGTAAAAAAATTGAATTTCATTTTTTCTTCTCATTACGTCGTTAATGACGGACCTCGTTTTCTTACTATCAAACTTGCATTTAATAATTTGATTACTGTAGTAATTTTTTTTAAGCATTTTTTAATAAGATTTTGGTAAAAATATTTACATTTTTTGCAATTTTTTTCATTATCTCTGTTTTTATTTTTTAGAAATTTGTTATAGAGTTTTTGCTTCTTCTTTGAGAATTTAATCAGCGATTTATCCATCCACGGATTAACAACTGGTTTTGTGTAATTTGTGTGTCCTCTTTTGGACAGGTTTCATTAAAGCACTCTAGAAATTTATCTAAAAGTTATTGAAATCTTTGTTAGTGTCCTGACTTTTATACACATTTGACCACTTTCTTGTTTTAGTTTAATTGATAATTTATTAGTATTGCTTGTTTTGAGATTGCGTTTTTTCGGATTTATAACTTTTGGTTCACAATCAGACGTGGTTTTAAATTTCTTACCTTTATAAATATTGAAAAGTGATTTCTAATATCAGTCATAAAAATCACGGTTTTAATAAATTAACATCGACATGTTTATAACTTTACATTTCGTTTAAGGTGACTTAAAGGTTAAAAAACACCAAAATTATGTTTTTTATGTTACCTTGTTTGGAATTTATTCTAGAATTAGAAAATATATACCTTTAAAGTCACTATTATTAGTAATATTGATTTTTTTAAGTTAAAGTTTTTTCAGCTTCTACAGAAACGCCCTTAGCAACGGCAATTTGCTGTTTTTTTGTTTAACTGTTATAAGAAGTACCCAATTGTTTTTTTAACCTTTTTTTATTATTTTTTTTATAATTTAGTACCTAAAAATACGTGTTTTCTAAAAGTGTTTTGTAGATAAACTTTTTTTTCGACCTTCTACAAAAATAAAATTGAAATAGAAAACTTGAAACTTTTAGGGTGTTCTCTTTAACAATTACTTAAAGGACTGTAGCAGAGTTACAGAAACTCTTGATAATATTTTAAGTTTTAAGCAATTATCTTAAAAAATATTTTTTTTCTTTTTGCTTTAACTGCTCAGATAAGAAATTTGTTCGATCTCCGCCATGTCTAAACAATCAAGGTCAATCCTCACCACGTATTTGTTAGTACCTGTTTCTCAGTGCAGCAGCCTTTGTTCGTGTTTCGGATTTATAAAGTTGAGAGAGAGAGAGAGAGAGAGAGTTGTACCTACAGCTAAAGTAGCCTCCTCAACTATAGCGGCCTTCATTGCCTTGGAAAGGTGAATTAAAATAAAAAAATCCACTGTTTTTAATAGAAAATTTTTTATCAAAAATTTCCAGGCCAGTAAAAACGTTCTGAAACCTTGTTGCAAGTGCATGTTCTTCCAAAATAACGTTTAATAAGACATGAACAATTAATTTGCTTTCTCTGCTCTTTGTTAAAAATAATCTCTACTCATAAATCCTTCTTTGTCATATATTTTAATTGATTACCTTCCATTCTAATTTTGGTCGAAAACACACAAAACTTAGTGTCTTTCAAATGAAACATAAATTGAAACACTGTCAAGTCCAGTTTATATAATTTGTATAAAGCAAATATATAAAATTATAAATACATTTATATTTGAGACGTCTATTTTGTTTATTAAAATTTTTTACTTTATTTTATATTTACTTTATATCTATCGATATTTCCTTAAAGAAGATTCCTAATAAAAGTTATAAAATATTTTCGAATGTTTTTAATTAAAAAAAAAAATTACAAAGAAAAAATTAAAGTTCTTTCGTAACTATATGGTTCAATTTATTAAATTTAAAAAATAAAAGTTCTTTCGTAAGTACATGGTTTAATTTATTAAATTTAAATTCATTTAAATTAGTATTGAAACATTTACAAATTATTTACACCTTAAAAACTGATTATAATTGTTTGATTTTCTTCTGATTCTCTTTTCATCGTTGTTTCAACTGTTGGGATAATTAAGTTAAGTAATTATTATCATCAAGAAACTTTTGTTCTTCTTTTTCATCATTCACTTTGTCCATTTTTTTTTAAGAAACTAAAGAAAGTTTATTAAAAATTGCATCTACCAAACTGGTTGACTTTTTTCAACCAAATTATGTATTTTGACAAAAAAATAACGAATGTCATTTATAAAAATTAAAGTAAATATAACCTAATAATATAAATGATACAAATAATAATGACAAAAATAAAACAACCAACTGAAGCAATTACAAAAATGATAAGATAATTTTATAAAAACAAAATATGCTGATAATAGAAGTGAAATTATAAGATTTTAGAAGCACAGATAGGATACTTCGACATTCTTTGACTAACTTATCAACATGTGGTCCAATGGTTATATGACTGCGATGTGAGTAACGAGGAGTTTTACAGTAGTTACAGGCAGGATTTACAAGGTACCTATATGTAGGTCAGTATTATCAGGAAGTTTATTAAAACTACTAATGAAGATATTAAATAGTTGCGGACTGAGGAAAACCACGAGTAATTTTTTTCCAAAGGGTGGTACAAAGATTCTAAACCACTCTTTGCTCTCTTTCAGATAAATAAATTTGAAACCAGAGCAGAGTGTTCATATTGCATCCAATGGGTTTCAATTTTTTCAGAAAAAGGTTGTGAGGAACCGAATCAAAGGCCTTAGAAAAATCGACTAGAAGAGTCCCTACCATGTTACCATTATTCAGAGATGTTTTCCACAATTCCATTGCTGCTATAAGTGCTGTTTCACAACCTGAGTGTTTAAGAAAGCCATATTGGTGATTGGGAACTATTTTAAAGGCATCACAGTTGACTAATTGGTTAGATTTTGCCTTTTCAAAGCAGCGAGCTAAAATTGGAATGATTAGTAATAGTAATAGTAATATTTATTGCTGTAACAATTACATATTTGTTTAAATATAAATATTTAAAAATAAAATAAATTGTGGAACGCGATGCAAGCATCGGGTTATAGACAGCCCACACAAATTAAAAAAACACAAGTTATGAAAAATGTTTATCTATTCGCGCTTTGAAAACATTCAACGATGTTGCTTCAATGATTTCATTTGGTAACAAATTCCAATTTTTACAAACTCGATTGGTAAAAAAATTATATCTCGGTAAACATGATGGTACGTATTCTCTTTCTAGCCTGTATTTATTGCCCCTTACAGAAAAAGCCGGGCCTGAACTAGTCACGGATGATGCCGGTTTTGGATTTTTGTACCAATTTATTTGGTCTATATTTTGCTTGAATCTGTATTGTTGTATAAGATCTCCTCTCGCTCGTCTTTTCTCTAATGTTGTTAAACCCATTGCTTTCAGTCTTTTTTCATATGAAATCTTTTTAAGTTGTGGAACTAACTTCGTTGCTCTTCTTTGCACTTTCTCTAACTCATCAATATCCCGTTGTAAATAAGGCTGCCATGCAGGTATAGCGAACTCAAGAAGCGGTCTCACAAATGTCGTATATAGTGATTTCACCATTTCCACATCGAAGTATGTAAACGTACGTTTAATTAGACCCAAAGTTCTTTGTGCTTTTGCTGTCGCTGAAGTCACTTGATCATGCCATTTAAGGTCGGATGAAATAATCACTCCTAAATCTCTTTCACTTACTGTTGTTTTTAATTTATACTCTTTGCCGTCGTGGTTCATACAATAACTCATACGTGGATTTTTTTTACCTAAATGCATCACCTTGCACTTTTCGATTTTCAACTTTGTCAACCAGATATCCGTCCATTTTACAAATTCGTTAATGTCATTCTGCAAAGACTCATGATCTTCAACATTTTTTATAACTTTGATAAGTTTACTGTCATCTGCATATAATTTGCAATTGGAATTAATAACTGATGGTAGATCATTTACGAATATCAAGAATAACAAAGGACCAAGCACAGAGCCTTGAGGCACACCACTAAAAATCTCAAGCCATGGAGACACGTCCACACCCATCACAACTCTTTGCCTTCTTTCTTTTAAAAAAGACGATATCCAGTCATTTATTACACCCTTGATACCATATGCTTCACACTTTTTCAACAGTCTTTTATGTGGAACCTTATCAAAGGCTTTGGCAAAATCCATATAAATCATATCTACCGCTAAACTGTCACTCATGCTTGCTGTTGCTGTTGATTGATATAGGACGATAATTAGATGGATCATCACGCAAGCTTTTATTTTTCCACATAGAGATAATGTTAGATTTTTTCCATTAGATGAAATTTTACTCTAAGCGGACTACTTACTCTAATATAGGATAATCTACTCCGGAGTAAAATATCCTGTCGGACAGTTTATTCCGACGGACTTGACAATACTCAAAAAATAAGTAGGATTTGCCGTAATGATTACAAATATACTTTAAATTTTAAAAGCCATCATTAAAGAGTTTGAAATATAATTAAATTAAAACTTCTATTATGGATGTAACTCTTTATTAATTTTTATACAATATTTCCAGGGATTATTAATACCCTCGTTGTCAAGTATATAAATAATTTATATACTTGACAACGAGGGTATCAATAATCCCTTGAAATATTGTATAAATAATTTATATACTTGACAACGAGGGTATCAATAATCCCTTGAAATATTGTATAAAAATTAATAAAGAGTTACATCCATAATAGAAGTTTTAATTTAAATATACTTTCATAAAAAAATCCGAACATTTAAAAAAACGCGACTTTTTTACTCCGATTATTCGAGCATTCCTCCTAGTGAAGTATATTAAATTAATAAACAATGGAATATATTGTATTCAATACGTTATATAATACAGTAAACATTTTTTATAAAGTACAATATATAGTATAAACAACATTAAAATATTTAAACAATCATGTTTCATTTGTATTTGTAATTTTATTGGCTTTGTTGTTGTAGTACTACTACTAGTAGATGCTTAGAAGAGTTTTTTTTAAAAAATGGTTTTTAAATAAATTTGTTCATTGACAAATCACGATGTCTTTTGTTTTAGACTAAAAAAAAAAATACAGGTGATTTTAAAGTTTGGTATTAAAATGATCCCGGAACTTGATTTAAATGAATGTTTAAAAGATTCTCCTAAATTCAGGTAGGATTTAATTATTCAACTGGTTAAAAACCTTTTAATTTATATAAATTAGAGAAAATTATTGTATAACATCTATATTAAAGATTTAGCTTTGGCCTCAATGTTTTAGTTAAGCATAATTGTTTTTTTTTTTTTTTTTTTTTAATAGTCAATAATTTCAAAAAATTTCTTTAGTTGCTACTAAATACAAATATATGTTTTGGTGGGAATTAGAAACTTAAAAATGAATTTATTACTTCTAAATTATAAACTATAAAAACTGTTACATTTTGGTATTATCGGTATAAACTTATATGATTTGATTTAGTTAAATAATTTTTGTAATTTTTTGCATGCATGAGTAGATTTGGTTTTATGCAGATTTTTTTCTTGTAGTATTAAAATTTATGTTCAAACTGAATCCATAAATCTTCTTTTTATTAAATTAATGAGCTGTTCTATTCTATTAAAAAATATTTTTTATCAGCACAATAGAATCAAAAGGTTTTTTTAAAACATTTTCTACTTTTTTATTATATACCATATACATCAAATGAGTTTATCTTAATCCTTACTTGTAAATAATAACAAAAACAAAAAGTAATATATTTACCAGAAATATAAATGTTTTACATAAGAAGGTTATAAGTTACAAAAAGTATATATACAGTCTACATTCTGGATGATTCATTCTCATATAGCTAGGCTAAATTGAGGAGAGCGACCATGAACAAAACAAAACAAAAGCAATGCAAATAAAATAAATAATATACACACAGGAGATTGCTATTAGTCAACATTTATATTTATATCTTATATATCTTCTATAGTGATATATCTTCTATCACCAGTGATACAACTGTTGTTTCTATTTATCTTGATGTAACAAGTAGTATTTTAATTTGGTTTTGAGGACATATTTTTTAATGTTGTTAAAAGAAGTTGGTTTTAATTTATTTTGAATTTGATTCCAGTCTATTAATGCAGAGTATTTGAAGGAATGTTTACTGTAGGATTTTGTATTATATGTTTGCACACTCAGTGCACCTCTACAAGAGTTTCTTGTAAGTTGACAGCTGATTGAACTGCGTAGAGTAAACCATTTATTAAATATAGGAGGTAGCTTTTTGTTTAAGCAGCTGTGAATAAATAAACAATTCTTAATTTTAGGAAAAGATTACTACAACATTGGTGGAGTAGTGAAATAACATCCGTACATTTTTGTGTCAGATCATCCGCTTTTTTTCTTTACTGAATTAACATCTGTGCAACAACATCCGAAATTTCATTGATGCCTAATAATATCTTTAGAAAGATGTAACTACATCCGAGAGTTTTTCTCGATATGTAACTACATCCGCCTAAAATAATGCATTATTAAAAATAAAATAAAAAATAAAATGAAATAAATTTCCGGATGTAGTTACATCCGAAAAAAATCAGATGTGTAATTACATTTGGTTAAAATAATACATTTTTAAATTACTTTTTTCCCGGATGAAGTTACATCCGAAAAAAATCAGATGTGTAACTACATCTGGTTAAAATTATACATTATTAAAAAAAAATTCTGTATGTAGTTACATATATAATTATTATATTGTAAAAGTGCTGCTATATCAACTGACAAATAGCCTGACTCGCAATGGAGTGCTGCTACATCGACTGAGGGTTTGGTTTGGGCAGGCTTCCTATCAAATAATTAAAAAAAAAATTATTATGCTTAAAATAATGCATTATAATATTTTTTTTTTGGCGGATGTAGTTACATCCAAAAAAAATCAAATGCGTAACTACATCTGGTTAAAATTATGCATTAAAAAAAAATTCGGAGGTAGTTACATCCGAAAAATCTACAGATGTAGTTGCACGGATGTTATTATACATCAATGAAATTTGGGATGTTATTGTATGGATGTTATTATACATCGATGAAATTTCGGATGTTGTTTCACGGATGTTATTATACATGGCAAAAATGGATGTTATTGCCCTAACCCTTAATTTTAATTATACATGCACTTTAAAAATTTTGTAATGCTATGACAGAATGGCAAGGGTTCTATTCAACTTATTAGATATATCGTTATAATGGTAATTTTAGGCTAAGTTTTTGTCTAGATTTATAACCAAGTAGTTTACAAGTTTTTGCACCAAAGTTTTTTTCCATTTAATTTAATTTTGAGCTGCTGGTCTAATGTTTTGTCGACTTTTGAATAATATTAAGTCAGTTTTTTTGGAGTTAAGGGAAATTTTGTTGGTATTTAGCCAGTTGCATAGTTTTTTAAGATAGTTAACATATTTGTTGATTTTTTTAATAGACTTATTGAAATAGAGAAGGTTTGTTTTATCTGCAAAGTGTTGGACTCTACAAATATTTTAAGCTTTAGATATGTCGTTTATATAAATAAAAAACAGCAAAGGGCCAAGGACAGATCCCTGAGGAACACCTACTTTGATATCGTTCAGGTTTGAGCTCACCCCACTAATGTATACTAATTGAGTTCTATTAGTAAGGAAAGATTTGAACCAGGAGTTTGAAACTTGTCTAATACCATAGTAGGATAGCTTATAAAGTAGAATTTCAACATTTACAGTGTCAAATGCCTTTTGAAGGTCAATAAAAATACCACATCCAAACATTCCTTCATCCAGAGAATCTTTAATTTTTCTCTGTTAGACTTAGTAAAGCAAGTGATGTAGAATAGTTTATTTGAAAACCAAATTGTAATTCAAAAAACAGTTTATTTTCATTGAAGACTTTGTATAAGCAGTTAAACATTATCCTTTCAAGAAGTTACATGTTAGAGAGGAGGGAAATTGGCCTATAGTTTGACATTAATAGGTTTGAATCAGTTTTAAAAATAGGTATAACTTTGGCAAATTTTCTGATAAAATACCACTTGAGAAAGAGATATTAGAAATGTTAGAAGGAATTCTTGAAAGTTCCGTTTTTAATAGTTTTAAAATTTTAACTGGCAGACTGCTTGGTCCAGAAGCTTTATTTGGGTCTAAAGGGTTGATAATTTTTGAAATTTCATGTTTGCCAGTTGGTTTTATAAAGAAAGATTTTTGAGAATGATTTGATAAGTAATATGTGAAATGATTCATGGATGAAAAAACTGTTGCCAAAAATTGTTTGACGTCTTTACCAATGTTGATATAGTAGTTGTTAAAAGCATTACAAATATCAAAGGGATTTGTTTTTGTTTTATTGTTATGTATGATTACAATAGGAGTTATTTTGAGAGTTGCTTTTCATATTAATATTTTTGATACCTTTCCAGGTTGCTTTTATTTTTTTTATGTTTTCATAAAAATAATTATTATAGTAATTTTTTTTTGCTTTCTTTGAGTTTAGATTGGAAGTTATTATGAAATATTTTATACTCATTATAAAATATGGTTTTGTTTTTTTGATTTTTAGACCTAATATATTTTTCAAAGAGATTATTTTTGTGCTGTATAGAGTGCTTGAGTTCATCTGATATCCATGGTTTAGTCTTAAATTTAATATTTTGTTTGTTTGTAAGCTTAATCAATACTTACAACACCTTAAAACTATTTTTTTTAAAATTTCATAATTAATTTGTTAGTAAAAATCAATTATAATAATTATGAATCAAAATGTTGTATGTATTATATACAACAATAGTTGTATGAAATACATGCAAATTAAATTTGTATGTTTTTCACACAACTTAACCGTTAATTAATAATATTTTTTTACATTTCTGGTCATTTTATTGGATTTGTCACCCCTGCAAATAACAAAATACATTTTTAAAGTGAAAAGATCAAATATTTTAAAATTTATGTGATTTGAAAACCCTCTAAAAAACATTGTGGTTCTGAAGGTGCAAGAGGGGACTTGCCAATATCTGATAAAAGTATAATTGAATTCTTATTTTACTAAGTACTAAGAATCAGATGTATAAAAATCAGCAAAAGCTGAGGTATATTAGGATTATAAATTTCCTGTGAGTCTTCTAAAAGTATGCAACAGTGAAACAATTTTGGCAATCTCAATAAAATTGAAATATAAATATATCTCAATAAAATTGCTTAAGAAAATATTAAATATTAATAAAAAATGAACTTATAAATTGTTATAGCTGGAACACCAGAAAAAATAATTAAATAATTTTCTAATGCTGGTTTATTATTCTTAAATTATATTGAATTTTAAAAGTTCAATTAATAATACTCATCAATACCTGTAAATTTTTATTTAACGGTATTTCCGAAATTTGAATGAATCCTAGTTTTGAATTTTTGTTTAGAACTGCACTAGAGGAGCATGAAGTATCCATAAGTGAATTAGAATCGCATCTAGAAAAGGTTTTTTCTCACATAAAACTTACATTAAATGAAATTTTTTGTTTTATTTTTTCTAGTAAATGTATTTAGTTCTTTTTTAGTTAGTCAAGATTTCTGTTCAGATGGTTGAAGCAGGAAAGAGCTATTCTAATACAATAAGGTGATAATAATTTTTTTTTTGTTTCGTTTATTATTAGTTTTATCACTATAAACTTATCATTTTAATTTTTTTTTATGAATGACACCATGTTGCTATTACACAAAAAAGAGCATAATTTTATACATCACATTTTAAACATTTGAGTTCATGTTCTTAAAGCTTTAAAGTCATTAATCAAAATGATGAAATTATTTTATATGGTATTGAAGTTTCAAATATTTTTGAATTTTTTAAAATTAAATTTAAATTTCAAAATAACAGAGCAGTATAAAACAAGTTTGATTTAGAATACACTTAAGTTTAAAGTAACATTAACAAGTAAATAAAGCATACAGAAAGTTGAGGGTTAGCTAAAAATAAGATGGTAGTTATAAAATTAGAAGACTAAATTTAAATTATTAGGAAATTAATCTTTTATTATTTCCATACTTGCTTTTTATTTCCTTACTCATCCATTTTCTTATTCTTCAAATCTCTAATTCTTTTCTGTATAGAATAATTTTATCATATTTGAGCTGTTTTTGATAACGATGCCCTTTCTCTTTTAGATAAGGTCTAAAAACCTTTTGTAAATGTAGTCAGACCTCTAATAGCCAAGTTGAAGAAATTGGTAAGTAGAGAAATGCTCTAGTTGCCAAGCTTCAGCCTCTTTTCCATATATTCATAAATTATCTTTTTACTGTATCTGCATCTTCATTTTCTAAAAACTTTTTTTAACACCCAATTTGAATAGCAGTGTAGATTATAGCTTGTAGCCTTGTTGGGAGTAAATTAGTTAAAAAAAAAAACATATTTATGTTTAAAGTATCAGAGAAGGCTAATATGGATAGAATTTTTATTATTTATTTTGATACAAAATAGTATTTTTGTTTAATTACCACAAAAAAAAAATTTTTCTTTACATTCAAGGTGTTAAAAATTTCTCCACTAACCTAACATTTTTTTTAACAGCACCTTTTATGTATCCATATAATTCTACATATGGGGTAATATGAACATATTAAAGATACACATTCATATATGATATATGTATTATATATGATATATTTATTATATTTAAAATGTTCTAAAATGTCAAAGTTGTATTGCTTGTATCAATTTGTTTCAGTTGCTGACAGTGTTTTTTTTTTCTTTGTCTTCTTGAAACACGGACAACAATATCTGTTGAACAACTTGTGCTGATGAAATTTTTCTCTTTTTTGCTTCAACAAGTTTATATTTATTTTTTGCATTTCAAACTGCTGTCAATTAAGTTTATTTAGACTATGTATGAAAACAAGTATATATACTTTAATTTAACACATGATGGAACAAATAAGCAGTTCAAAGTAATTACTGTTTCTCGCAGTTTAATTTTTCCAGTAGAAAAGTATTTTTCAGTCCATCAGACAAATCGTTCTTATCTAATATCCTCTCATATAAGTATAAAAATGATGTCAATATTTCCTTACTTTAATAGTATCAATATCTTCTTACTTTAACAGTAGCTCTTATGTACTTATTCTATGTATACTAATTTAATGTAACCATATTACACTCTATTTTTATTAACCCAACCTACTCTATTGAAACCACCCTACTTTTTTTTATTTAATATTTATTCATTTTTTATTTGTTTTCTTAAAGAGCAGTTTATTGCAGTGTTTGAAATTAATGGTCATTCTTTACTTTTTTTTAAGTAGAGAGCCATGATACTTTTCTGTTTCTTTTTTTTTTAATTCTGGCCAGTTTAGTTAACCAGCTTGTAGTTCAACAACTAGACCTTGACACAAGTTATTTTAGCGCCGAAAATCTTTTTAGCAGTTTCTGATGAGCTCAAGCACTCTATATGGCACGAAAAAAAAATGTTTAATAAAGTTAATGTATAGTAATATTAGTAGTGATATTTTTGTTATTATTAATAATAATAAGTAAATGATATTTTTAAGTAATTGTTATAATAAGTTTTTAAAAATTTTATGAGTTTTCACTAAATTTGGATTAGATTAATCCTTATCCTTGCTGTTTTAGACGGATCTATTAGTTTTTTGTCTCCCTCCATTTTTTTAATCCAGTTTTCAAATATTAGAATAGCTTCATGAACTCCAACACAATCATTTTTGTTTTTGCACTTGGTTAAACAAATTATCAATGTTTAGTATAGTTTCATAAATAAACAGTCAACCAAAATATAAATATTTCTATGACTTAGCTTGGCGCATCAATCTCTATTTAAATCAATAATAGTCAATAAGTTAAAAACATATCATTATTGGTATTCAGGGTCAGATTTTTCAGCTTAATTTAAATGAGACACAAGTTATACAAAATAGATAAGGATATGTGACCAAGTTATACAAAGTAAATAATTATCTTTATACTTATATAAAAATAAAAGACATTTTATGTATAAGTGATGTACTGATTGATCGGCATCGGTTTAATTGACCACTTTTGCACAATCGGAATCGTAATCAACCTTTTTTCAAAAATTTACCCATTTTCTAACCAATCGTATTTTAATATTTTTGTCATTATGATAATAATTAAATAATAAATAAACTATGCATTACTTGAAATTTTTTTGAAAAATTGTTTATTTTGAATTTATTTACAGACAAATTTGTTTATTCTTAAGATGATTTTTATAAGCTTTAATTTAACAGCTCAATGTAATTATACTTTTTTACCATAATTTTGTTTTTAAAATAATTTTATTTTGTATTGTTCTTGTGTTCAAGTATAGCCTTCTATATTTCTATATGATTTTTGTTTAATAAATTCTATATGATTTTTGTTTAATAAATTAATTAAGAATTTTAAGTCAACTGCATATTTAGTACCATTTTTTTTTTAAATTGAAACAAAAAACGTTCCTCTAAAATTCTATTTATATTTTGAAAGTATTTTTTTCATAGTAAAAAAAAAAACTAAAAAAGAGTTTTACTAATATCTTTTAAGATAATGGTTTGGCTCTAAGGTTTGGGTCCAAGTATTTGGGTCCATTGTTCTGAGGTTTGGGTCCAAGTATTTGTTTACTACTGATTCAATGAAAAAAGTTTACATGATTTAAAGTTGTACGGTTTTATATTTTCAAAATTTTAATAATTAGTTAATTCATTGGTATCGGCCTTTTCCCATCAATCGACATTGGTATCAGCATTGGCCACAAATGTGCTATCGGTACATCACTGTTACGTGTATTATGTATGCACAGCTCTGGAAATGGCAGGTTAATAGATTTATTCTAAATCATAGAAGAATTAACTTAGGAACATGTTCTTGAGCAGAGTGGACCATTGGTGATAATGTTGATGCTTGGAAAAACTCCCTTACATTTTTTTAAAGTTATTACAAAAGATATTAATTATATTACAATATTAAATTACATTTGATTATTCTCAAAAATGTATTCTAGATTTATGCAACTTATTGTCACAATCATACCTTTAATTTATTTAAAGTTATTTTTTAAATAAAAAATTACTGTTGCTGTTAGTCTACATTTTGCTCAAACTTGTCACTCTTCACATATTTACCACACATTTTATTTGGCTTCTGACCAATAAAACATGTAAAAGAAAATAGCTTATGGTTAAATTTTTACTTGAGTTATAATTTATCAGGTTATTCAAAATTTATCAGGTTATAGCCAAAATTTATCAGGTTATTTCAAAATTTGTTAAGATTCAAGTATTTTGAATCCAACTGAACATAAATTTTTTATTATTATTTTTTTCACTTTTTTAATTAAATATGAAGCAAGTGGTTAGAATAAATTATGCTAGAGTTATTTTTATTTACAATACAATTTTTCTTCAAATACTAATCAAGAACTTATAAATAATTTATAAAATAATAAGCTAGGAGAGCACAGGATGGTGGTACAAATGATGTTTCCCCAACAAAGAAGCTTGCTTTGATTAGCATTGCTGTTGCGAGGTTTCCTCCACAAAGTTTAATAAATGATATATGATTTTGTTTAAAAAATTACTGGTAATAATAAAATAAGTGAAAAAAAAGATTTCTGTTTATCAATTTTTAAAAATCTTTTTTTTAAATGTTAAATAAATTTGAAAAGAATTTCAATGGTTTGAAAATAAATGTTTTAATTGGAGGTTACCTCGTTTGTTTTGTTTTTATTGTTTTTAAAACTCTCCCTCCTCTTTACCTCTAAATTATTAAGAGATGTACTCAACTGAGTTGTTACAGAAACAATTTGATCTGTAAAAGATAATCATCCATAAATTTCTCTTTAGGTTGCTGATGTATAGTTTAGAAAATCTCACTAGCTTTTTCTCTGCAGATGAGTTTGTGTCGAAATATCTCAAAAAAATGAATGGTGTTCTTGGTGATCTTCAAAACTATTTCTCTGTAAGTTACCCTTTTAGCTAGCAAGTTATTGCAGATAAAATTTGTGCTATTTATTTATACAGTTATTAAAAGATCTTATGTATATTATGCAGTAAACGTTTTGTAAATTTTCTCTGTAAAAAAATTTGTGAAATTTTGTTTGGGGTTGATCCTTTCAATGTTACTTAGGTTGAAGGGTCTTTCACATAAAGCAATTACTACTGCACAGGTACTCTTACGTTTTTATCTTGTCCAATAGGTTATATGGAGTTAAATTTATCCTAATTAATTTATTAATTAGGATAAATTTATCAAGACTAGCAAATAAGGAGCAATAAAATGGGTCATGGGAGCTAGATATGTCAAATATGTTAACTATATCTGTCAGATTTTTCATGTAACAATTTTTCTGTTTTAACAAAAAAAATTAACAACATATCCATAGAATAAAGAAAGTAATCTACAATAAAGATCTTATGTGAAAATGATAATAATGGCTTTAGGTAAGTCTCCCATGTATATAATCCCATGTCAACCTTAAGTAAAAATATTTAACTTTTTTTTTTTTTTTTAAATTGAATCTAGTACTCTTATGAAAAACTCTATGAAATCCTCTTATTTGGAAATTTACTTATTTAATTTTCATCTGCAGCGCAAACCCACTGTCTCTTAAGTTTTTCTTCAGAGTTCAAAATTTTAACTGAGCAATCATTCTTTAGAAATTTTTATAATCTTCCTGTATTACAATCTTACCAATCATTTTTTCTACAAGTTAAGGAATATTCATAAATTATGCAACTCTAAGCTTTTTAAAAAAATAGGTTAGCACTGTAACTTTCATTTTTCATAATGGGTTAATTTAATTTTTCATATAATTAATGGCACTGCATAAGAAAACTTGTAATCTTTTTTTTTAATTAATTTAGTGTTACATAATTTATAAATAATTTGCTTATGTAGTAAGAGAATGGATATTTTCATATCCTTTCTCTTACTACATCATGTACAGGGCTGGAAGTAATGTTTTGCATAATATTGTTTTTGACTATTAGAATAAAAAAAGTTTTTGAACTATCTTTAGTTTAGAGTATAGAAATAGCAAGAAGGTTATTGAATAAGCAAAAATACAGAATGATAAAAAAATATAAAGATCTCAAAAGTGTTAAGTAGTTATTAATATTATTTATTTCATCCAATCAGGGTTGACCTGCAACCCTAAAATAATTATTTCCAGCGTTGTATGAATAAAAACTCTTTACTTTAATTCTAAATTTGAAAGCGTATTAAATAGTACTTTTGATTAGAAATACTACAGTATTGTGTAGTTCTTGTTACAATGAGTAATACTAAAAATGAGGTTTGGGTCCAAGTATTTGGGTCCATTGTTCTTTAATTTGGGTCCAAGTATTTGTGCACTAGTACTAATTGGATGAAAAAAGTTTACATGAGTAATACTAAAAATGTTGACAGACTCAATAAATGAATATGTGAAAATATTATATAACAATTTTACAGGATTACTTTCATTTTCTCTGGAAAATGAAAGTGGTCCTGTAAAATTGTTATATAATATTTAATAAGTAAAGATATGTTTGATATGTGATAAATAAAATTTAGTATAAAAATACAGTTATTAAAATATAATATTTAAGTATACAATATATAAATTATTAAATTAGTAACTAAACTTTTGATTGAATAAAATATATTTCCTACAAATTCGTTCAGTTATATGTATAATAAATAATAAATAATTTATATAATAAATTATTTAATAAATACAAAACTTTTTTAATACTGAAAACAGGTACCCGCTATTATGTAATAATGTTATCAGATGTTTACTTCTGGTTTTTTAAAATATAAAAATTTTTTGTTTATTTTCTTGAAATCTGATACAATCACGTTCTGTCTATAATAAATTTTTTTTTAATTTCTTGGATACATATTAACAGTTTTAATTTCTTGGATATTAACAGTTTTGTAATAACATTTGTATTACTTTAAAAAATCAGCTAGTAATATAAAAACCTGAAACATTGAAAAAAAACAAGCAAAAACAAACAGCAAGCTATACTTAATTTTTTACCTGCAATTCATTGTAAAATTAATTTTTTTTTTTTTTTTTACAAAATGATTGTTATATGCTTGTGTTATTAAAATGTGTTATTAATACTTGTGTTATTTTAACAACTTTAATGTATGCTTTATAGATATTTTTAATGTTTATAAGGAATTTCATTTCTAATAACATAAAATAAAAAGGTAAAATAAAAATTAAATTATAGAAAAACAGTACATACTGTCTACTTATTAAAGTTAAAACTTTAACAAATTTCAAATGCTTCAGGTATTAGAACCCAATTGTGCAAACCTCTATTTATCAGCAGTTCAGATATTAGTGCCTAATTTATTTTCAAAAAATTATAAAACCTCAACTAAAAGTTTAATGTTATAAGAATTTTTAGCTTACTGTTAAACATAAAGAATTTTTGTTAGGATACAAACGTTATAAGTGAGTGATCACTACTAATACTACTATCACTAATAGGTTTAGAATTATTATATAGAGAAGGAGTTATGAAAATACTACATGACATAAAATCATACTATATGAGTATCTTGGTATACATAAATTGTACCATGATATACTGTGAACTGGGTATATCATTTTTTCATCAAGAATACTGTTGACCTTATTGCTACAATGTATATACTTTTATGAAACATTGTTGACTTCATTGAATTTTGTTGACTTCATAGAGTATTGTTGACTTCATTGCTACATTACTTTTTAAACAGCTTGTCATACTTTTATACTTTTCAGAATAGTACAGTGTTTGGAAAGTTCCTTCTTAAAAGGATCTTGTTCCGTTCCCCGTTCATTTCGTGTAATAAAAACGCATTCCAGATCCTCGTTCCTTACCAGAAAAATAATTTTTTTTGAAATTCCTCAAAAAAAGGAATTCATTCCAACTTCGTTCATTTTTTTTTAATTATTTTTAAATTGTTAATTACGTATTACATTTAATTAATGGGAGTAAATTTATTATATCAGGTGTATTTTTGTTATTATTATTAAATAGTTTTCTATATATTTTGCTTTCTTGCCGGCCTAATCTGCCTATGCATGTAACTTTACACATATATATGTTATATATTAATTTCGGTTCAAAAGCATTAGCGAAATGGTATTAGAAACTAGTAAAATATACAAAAAAAATGAATACTTTAAACTTCAACTTTATTTTGTTTTAATAAAACTAATTTTTCAAATAACAAATCACCCAAATTATATCTTTTTTCAGTCATCACATTAGACCCTGTTGAAAATAGTCGCTTGACCAGTGCACTTGATGGAAGAGGTGTGTTAAGTTCTAAAAAGACTTTCAATACTGCTGGGTATAATAATAAAACAGGTAACTCTCTTGACTGTGATTTTAAATATAATTCTAACTCTTCAATACCTAAACTTGTAACTTTGTTACTTTCTACAGGTAAACAGAAAAAGTCTTCTTTAGATGTACCTGTAATTGTATATAAAAAAAAATTTCATTTCACAAGCTGCTAAACTAGGCCTATGATCCACATTTTCAAACAAAGATTTTAATGAGGCTTCCACTGTAAAACGTTTGATACCATCAAGCCATAATAATTTAAAACAAGGCAACAAACACGATGCTAATATTAGTTCTTTTTTTTCCCATATAGCGCTAACTCAAGTTTGAACTGTAGATTTTACTGTGTTGACAAGTGGGCCACAAAAGCTCATATTTTTTTGTTGCAAAGTAGTTAGTTTTTTTATCTAAAGCGTAAAGCCTAGGTAATAAATACCCCATAAACATTGATTCTTCTCCTTGTAAAAAGTCTAAAGATTGGGCCAAAGGAGTCATTACTTCACAGTATTCTTGAATTATTTGAATTTCTTGATTTGTGAATCTTTGTATTTCACAGAAATCCATTATATTGCTCATTTTGTTATGTCCATTAGAGTCTGAAAAAATACTTTTAATTTGTATTAAGCTATCATAGGTACAGTTCCATCTTTTTTTGTTAGGTGTTTATAAATAAACATCTAGTTTATTGTGAATTTTTTCTGCAACTCTATTTGACATATTTTATTTACTCTATAACGATGAACACTTGCCCATTGCTTTCCTATTAAGTTTCTTGAAATTACTAGGTGAATTCTGTACCATTTTCTCAAAATCATTTTTTGCTATTAAGTCCAGTGTATGACTAACACATTTAAAATGTTGTGGTAATTGAATAAGTAAATCACTCTCTTCTTGTTCATGAATGTTTTTGTCCAAAATATCATATAAACTCATATTTTCACCGTATAAATCATCATCATTATCATCATCATCATCATCATCATCATCATCATCATCATCATCATCATCATCATCATCATCATCATCATCATCATCATCATCATCTTCATCATCATCATCATCATCATCATCATCATCTTCATCATCATCATCATCATCATCTTCATCATCATCATCATCATCATCATCATCTTCATCATCATCATCATCATCATCTTTATTACTATCCTCCTGATTCTCTGTATTTTCAGAAACATGATTTAAAAGCTTTTATAAAATTTGAGCCAGTGTCTGTTGTTGTAGCAACTATCTTGTTTTGTGTTTTATAGGTTGTATGAATCTTATACAAAGCAGAAGCCAAAACAATATATGTATGTCTTCCTTTTATTCAGTCACATGCTAAAGGTACTGAACTATGTTGAAGAGTCTTTTGATCTATTCAATGGCAAGTAACCCCAATATAACTTCTTTTACCTTTGCTTCAACAGTTAGCTGTAGTTGCAACATACATAATATCTGTAAGTGTTAAATAAAAAAAATAAAAAAAAAATAAAAAAATTAAAACTATTAATACGTAGTTTTAAAGTTTTACTGCAAATAATTTTCAGGTTTTTAGGAAGGCCTAACTTTGTCAAATTTACAAACGATGGTTTATCAACTATAGATAAAGGTTGTGTTTCACTA